CATGCAAAGGTATCACTCGCATTATGTTGGATGTAAAAATAAATATTCGCATATCGGCACTGATGCACAGATCCATGCCAAAAGTTTTTTCTTCGCTGATTCTTAAATTGTGGGGACGATGAAAAATTTTATATTTATTGTACATGGATATTTTATACATATATTGATGCAAAGAGTGAAAAATTAAGAGAAAATCAGGTTAAAATCAAATTGATGTCTCTGATCTCTTCACCTACCACTAAAACCTAGTTCTAGTACTCAATCAGTTATGTTATCCAATAAGTAGAATAGGGTAGAATTGGGGAAGGTCTACGGGTAAAAAGTTCCAATACAGATGTCTCAAAATCAAGTAAAGTTGAATAAATTTTAATAACAATATTTGAAAGTACAAGAAAAAAAATGTATAGCCAGACCTCAACTTGATTTAAAATGGCAATGTTTGAAAATCCATCACAAAATTATTTTCTTTGGTTGGAAGTTTTTTAGGTCTTGAGCAGTATTGTTTAGTTTACGAGACCTCATTATAATTTGTAACATACGTTATTTAAATGTTTTATGAGAGTTTTTTTGTTATTTTTAAGTTCGACACAACAGTTTTTTAACAAAACGATATTGTTAAAAGCTCACATTTGGGTAGGGTGAAAAGGACCATCTGAGTCTTTACCATCGAAAAGATGTAAACAATAAAAAGTAGTAAATAAAAAAGTGAAGTTAAAAAAGCAATTTTACGAGAGATAAGATTATTTCTAACGAAATAATACCAGATCATGGTTGTATACTATGTCATCTCTGTAAAAAATGTACCCATGAAATATATATTTTGCATTTGGTTGAATAATATTGCTATCATTTAGTAAAATCCCTTTAAAAATGAAAATAAGATTTTGGATTTGTTTGCCTTCTGGTGGTTCCATTTTACCTCGCCTATGAGGTAAAAAAAAACAGGTGACAACTTTTTGAAAAACGCATTTTTGCAATGATGAATTATCTCGGAGTTTTACTGAACATAGTCAGATAGTAGTTTATTTGATATGTGTCATTTGTTATTATTTTGTAAAATTCTTCTAAAATTGAAAATAAAACATTGAATCTGTTTGCTCTCTGGTCGTTCCACTTTATCCCGCATATGGGGTAAAAAGAACCAGGTGACAACTTTTTTAAAAATAGCAACAAAAACACATTTTGCAATAATGAATTAGCTGGGAGTTTTACTGAACATAGTCCCTATTTCAAAATCGATTTCTGTCTATCCTAAATCTAATCCAAAAAAATTAATAGAAGTTTTCCAAATTTCCTAATTGGCTCGAATTATTTCATTAATTCAAAATGAATCCGCAAGGCATCACACTTAAACTGTATGTTAATTTATTTCGAAATGTTTAGAATCATTTATTATTCGCACGTTTTGTTTAATTTGGATTAACTCCCTGTGTGGTCTTCGCATGGGACACTGATTTCATATGATCTGTTCACTCATCAACGTTGAATTGTGATGACAGTTGTAACACGATATTCGTCCAAGCGTTTCTTTCAACTGAGGACAAAACGGAAATTTCATATTTCGAGTATTGCTTAATGATCGATTGCCTAAATTATAATAAACGATTGATTAAATCCTATATAAATATTGATTACAAAGTGAGAGCAACGTGAACCAAAGAGCAACTGACTCGTAATTGTGAATAGTCATGGACGAGGATAAAATTGAAGTCTACGATTTAATTTGAAACAAAAAAAAATAATATGTATGGTATGGAAATTTTGGAAATTTTGTCAAAGTATGTTCGATTTAATGATAATATAAACTCCGGTTTTAATTATCACAAGATTATTATTATATTATATCTTCATATCTCCCATAAGTTTACATATTCCGCCCATCAGATCTATTTCGAGTTCATTATTATGAAATCAATAAGATTAGCCGCATTAAATCTATTTTAAATATCTTAATGCATCAGCCGATAACATTATTTTCGAAATTATTTTGGAATAAATCTAATAATATTAGATTTAGAAAAATATTTCCATGATATTTTGTATGAAGTCTTTTTTATGTTAATTCCTGTTTGACGCGTTAGGATTTGGAACGCGAGCACTCGCTTTTTAAATCTCATGATATTTATTAAGAACAGTGATGTCCAATTGATTTAGAAATATGATTTAATAATATTTTGAGGAAATTACAAAAAAAATATTACAAATAAAAGCAAAAATTGTCAGAACTTTGTAAAGCTTAAGACTTGCTGCAATTAGCGTAAGAAATGTGTTCTTTTTGAAAGGTTAATATGGAAATTATGAATGAGCAGTATTTTTGTTCAATTAAAAATTATAATTATTCATCAGAAAAAGTTGAGGTGGTAATATATGAATATAATATATAAATTTATATAATATATTAAATTTGCTTATTTATAGCTGATTATTTATATTTGCCTATTTAAAGAAAAATGACGATTGCAGGTGCAATTTTTGGAACCGATGATTTTAAAGTAAAATTAGTTAAATGCTTGATAATTTTAGAAATTGATGTAAAAACATTGCTTGATCAAATTTGTGAGATAAAGTTTCAATAAATATTCATTGTTTATTTTAAAGAATTATTCTAAACGTCAATTTCAAACATCTCAGAGGAAAGTATTTTATGCATTAGCATTAGCTTAAATTTTAGTTGAAGTTTAATATTTAAAAATTTCATCTGTTTTTCGGTGTTTGAGTACAAAACTATACCAAGATTAGTAAATAGCAACTACATTTATGAAAATTCTATCTCAAATTCAAACAAAAAATATTCTTGGCAAGTTTAGTATAGAATTTCATATCGAACGAAATCACTGCAAAAATTTAGCTTTACTAACATCAGGCAAAATGCATGTTCTAATCCTTCTTATTCCTCTAAGTGTTGGAAATCATTGAAAAAACTATAGAGCAAAAATCTTCCTGTTTGGTTTAGGTTAATTATGCCTAACTTGTATAAAAACTAACATGATCAGTTATTATTTCATTTATTATTTTATTAATAAATTTTTGTACCCTTTTATATTATTTGTCCAGCACTGATATGAATAATCAATTGACAATTTCAAATGCTGGTGACATTTCAATGCATCAGTATATTTAATAATACGTCATATGGATTAGGACGTCTGGCTGATTTGACAGACCAAGATGAAATGCGTATAATAATCTTCTTGTTTGAGCTTTAAAGCGTCTATTCTATTTTAATATTCAAGACTGATCTTGTACTCGAATAAAAATCTCGTAGATTAAATTGGGATACATAGAGATATTCCATTTCATAAGAGTAGAAGTTGGTCTGACGAAAAAGTTGGTTATTAAATTCTTCTTTAGAGTTATTCATTAGTCTTTCTACTTGTCAATTAAATTAACACTATTAGTAGATATTAATTATTATTCATTTTAAACACATTTTTCAATTATCCCATTCATAAAAATTGATGTTATATACTTCAAAAATGGATTGTCAACTCGTGATCGCGATCAAATTGTGTCAAATAATTTAAATTAATCAATTATTTGTTTACATTACCCTCTGTTTTGAATATAAATATACGTATTACAAACATGAAAATGTCAACAGATGATAAAAATAATAAATTATCACATTGTCCGAACTATACAGGGGCACAAAATGTTTTTTAATCATTATTTGTTATGTGGAACGTGCGCGCTCCAGGAGCAGATGTTGTCCATCACTAACGATGTAATTCCAAAATCGATATTAGTGATGTATCATAATGGAAACAAAATGATAAATTATAAATTGAATAAAAAATTGAGCAAAGATACTAAAAATTTTGCAATAACGCATGAACATATTCGTCCATAATTCAAAAATTTTTACATAAGAGATTTAAAGATTTTTACATCAAATTCATTGAGGTTTCATTTCATTTCATTATTTTTGATAGAAATATCTTTCTTAATTCTATATATTATAGTTTAAATAACAATTCGTAAAATATTAGTTTATATGTACCCCTCAAAAATATCTTATTCGTGCATACAATCATCCCATTCTCACAATCCAATATTATGATAAATTTTATCACACTCGCTACGAAAATGCGTAGCATATGGAAAAGATTTATCTGTTTTAAAACGTCAGAAAACATATAAAGCAGAAAAACCATCTGTCATGGCCAGTAGGAAAGTCGGAACTTTTAACACCCTCAAAAAACTCAACAAAAAAAATGCCAAAAAGCACGTAGGAAGGTCGTTTTGCGATATCCATAACTAGGGAAAGATAGATTTTTATTCGAAGAAAAAATGATTCAGACAAGGGAGTGTGATCGATGGAAACAAATTGTATTATCACAAATAAGATTAGGCATGTTTTTGAATTTGGTGAATGCTTGCTGATTTATTTATTAATTTCTCTACATACTTGATTTTTTTTTCACCTATTCTACATGGAATATCAAAAAATATTTGGTAGTACTAAAAATGTCTAATTCGAATGCCAACCCAGTGATTGGGCGTCCGGGTGTAATAGATAGATTAAATATTTAGACAACTCCACTTATATTTCATCACTATAATAAATTATCTATTACATGTGACAAAAGATTTTTATAAATTCATCCCCTCGTGTTTCTTGAACAATGAAACGAAATTTTGATTTCTATCTTAAATGTTAATGATACAATACATCTGCTCCTGTTCGCAAATTAATAAAACGACTTGGCATTTGGCTAAAAAGGTCACATCGTTCAAGTGTAACACTAAAACGTCTGATATATAATCTAAACTTAATAAATGATTGATAAATTAATTATATCTGCTTGGAAGTGATAAAATGTAATGGAAAATTAGAATGCAGTATGGGAATTGCACCTTTAGAAACCTACTATTTAGTTCATAGATTACTGGTTTTAGAAACTAATTAACTAATTGATGAGTGAGATTTTGATTTTTTAATTTTAAAAGTGATTATTTTTTGTTAATTTAAAATATAGATAAATTATATAAAAACTTACCTCTAGCTTTCTGTTCGTCTAAAAGTTGTCTCTCTAAAGAATCTTTGACTTCTCTTTCTCGAAGCACATCCATTTTCAATTCAGCTGGAATAAAAATAAATAAAAATTAATAAAAAGCAATGTAACACTAATAATCGATAAAATAAATCATTTAATTAATTTAAACAATTCACTACGCCAAGTGCAGAGTTTTTGGAGATTTTTTCTTGGAGAACATGCATTTACTGAATTATTACAAAATTTATAATTTTTTTAGATGCGATTTTAATTGCAGCATTTTTAGTTATAATATATTCTATCTATGTCCCTGTCTAAATTTTAGAATGTTGGTTAAGAAAAAAATTATCAACTACCGGATAGATGCTGATTTTAACAAATTCCTAAATGTTTTAAGGGCACATCCGCATCTTCTCGTTAGTCCCAGACAACAAAATCTAATTTTTCGCCTGGATAATTCTCAATGCGCGTATTCTTTTTATGAAATATATTCAATAATTAAATGTATATACTATTTTGCATTTTGCCGGAAGCGGAATTATTTTACAAACGCACAATATACCGAATATAAATACTTATATTCCGAAAGAACCGTCGAATTTTCTTTTGGCTCGGCGTTGGCAACGAGGGGGATCGTAATCTGATACGCAAATATTAATACACCTTGCTTCGATAGAAATAGACAGGGATTCGGGGGAAAAATAAATGATAATTTTAATCATCTAGTAAGTGAAATTAACGAAATTTGAATATGTTTTGAAGGCGAAATTGTAAGTACATCACAAAACGTAATAGATTTTTTTTGCTATGGAAAGAATAGCACTGTCAAACCTTATAATTATATATATTAATTAATGAAATTTTCATTAGGACTGATTATAATTTGAAAAAATAATTTATTTTATTCAAATTATAATCTGTAATTTTCTTAAGAAAATCTACATTAATTAGAATAATTGGACATTTTGAAGAATTTATTGAAGAAGTTACTCAGTTTTTTGACAAAGCCAGTAAATAATAGTAGGATATTTCCTGAAAATTATTCTGTGACCTGAAATTGAGACAATATTTACAAAGAATACACACAATATCTGAATGCTTTTGGAGGCTGAATCATAATTTTTACTGTGTTCTTAAGTGTTTTTATTTTTTTAAACATACAATAATTTTGCA